CCCCCCCCCCCCCTCTTGAAAATCGTATAATAGCTCCTAGAGTGCAAAAATCGTATAATATAACTCCTAGAGTGCAAAAAAAAAATTGTATAATATAACTGCTAGAGTGCAAAAATCGTATAATAGCTGGTAACTCACATCGCAGAGTACAAAGAAATCGTATAATAGCTCCTCCCCATCCGAGAGGGCAAAAACGGTTCTCCCGTTCCGTATATAGCTAAAAGACAAGAACTATCGTCCATCCCTTAATCTGGCCGTGATCAAGAGCATCATTCATTCATGATTATACTAATTATCGTTAACATTCAAGGAACCATCTTCCAAAGAATCAACCGGCAAACCAAGAAGTATAAGGAAGATCCGAACCTGCGCTCTTCTCGCGAATAAAGGACATGGGCATTACAACGGTACTACCTTGCCAGTTGCTCCTCCCCCTCCTACTACTACTACTTCCCAAGCACGAAATCCATGCTCTCTACTCGAAGGAAACGAAGTACTTACGCTTTACATCGGCGACCGCACTCCTCATCACAGCCAGCCGCCATGCCATCCCATCATCCGACCCACCCACAACTCTTTCTTCAAAACTCTCTCTCTCTCTCTCTCTCTCTCTCTCTCTCTCTCTCTCTCTCTCTCTCTCTCTCTCGCTCGCTCTCTCGCTCTCTCTCTTCCTGCTCTGTTGACTGAGTTCGCAATAACCCGTCCTTTTTTTTTTTTTTTTTGCAATAACCCGTCCTAACCCGTTCTTTTTTTTTTTTTTTTTGCAATAACCCGTCCTTACCGTTTGCTTTTGTGCATAAAACACAGCCGGGATATGCGGAATGGTTCTCTACCCTCTCTCGCTCCCCTCTACTCTCCTCCCTTCCAATCCACGCCTCCTCGCGGCCACAAAATCTTCCGTAATTATACATACAAAAAAAATAGTAATTTTTTCCTAGACCAACAGTCATAGACAACCCCCTTGTTTCACGCCAGTGCTTCCCCACCACCTGCTGCTGGCTATACGACGTCAATCAATCAAGCGACGGGGTCATTATTTTCCGAGCCCAGTGCTTCACCCCCCCTTCTGCTGCTGGCGATTGCGTCCAAAACACTCTATCGCCACCAACGGTGACCATTACCTCTCCTTCATCCCTTCAGACCAAAAAACGTCGTTTGCTTGCGTCTAAAGATCATCATGATCGTCTGATTCTCTTAACTGTCTGTGCTCTAATACTTCATTTCTCCTCTTCAAACTTACCATAGCCAGACATACCTCCTCCCTCTCACCACTTTCCGTTGCCTCCATCCCTCCGACCAAACGAAGATTCACAAAACTCCGTCATTGAGAGCAACGAGAAAGATAACGAGAAAAAGAGCAACAAGAAAGAGAGCAACGAGAAAGTTCATCTTCTTCTCATTTTATTGTGCTCTCTGATCCTTGGTTTCCCCTCTCCCTCAGGGGCATCGTCGCGATATAACCCCTGATTAGTACTAGTAGCGCTTTCTTCGTTTCCTTGCACGGCTCGTCCGTTGCCGGAGGTGGGTTGGAAGGGGGTGACTTTTATAAAGGGGGATGGGGGGGGGGAAGCGGGAGCGGGAGGAGTGCAACGGGGAGACCGAGGGTATATGTGTCCCTAAGTAAAGATGGGAGAGAAGGGGGAAACAGACTCTCACCAATTCACTTGTTACCCCGGCGGCTTGAGCGGGTGCCGAAGGAGGGAAAAGAGGGAGAGTCAGGAGTCAGTGAACGACATGAAGCGAGGAAAACCACTCGCTGGACGTCTCACTTACTTGCACCGCAGGCTGCTTTTCCACTGGCTGGTAGTTCTCTGGCAAACTTTCCCTTCCAAAGAGTAAATGAGAATATAACTGACACTATTACAATTCATCTCTGCCTACCTGAAGTGACTTCTCCTGACCTGTCAAGTCATTCACAAAGAGCGTTGATTTTTTGCCATAAGCGGCGTTGTCTCCTGGCGTCACGAAGCACGCCAGAGACCTGGCGCGCTACAGAAACGATCAGGTGAATCAGATCAGAATCAATTAATTATCACTCTCGTACACACCATCGGCATCGGCATCGTCATCATCGCCATCATCATCATCATCATCATCATCATCGTCATCCGCATTGTCAGCACCACCAACATCATCTTCAACGTCATCCTCATCCTCATCATCATCATCATCATCAGATGCAGAAGCAGTAGCGGCAGCATCGAATTCATACGGAACGTTAGCTCTTCTTCTTCTCGTCCTTGTTGGAAGAATAAGATTAGGATCGACGTCGTCTCCAGAAAGCCCACTCACTTCCTCTGCCTCGTCGCCATCGCCGTCGCTTGGGCGCTCCTTCCTCTTGCGCAACCTCGGCTTCACGCCGCCATCACCATCATCCTCCACCTTTTCTTTGCCTTTCGCTGACGCCGATGGCACGTTAGCCTTCCCAGCGGAGGGAGGTTGAAAGCTGGCCCCCGCCGCGCCCTTGGCTCCGTAGTGACCGTCATCTTCCTCCTCCTCCTCCTCCTCCTCCTCATCGTCTTCCTCTTCATCGTCGTCATCCTCCTCATCGTCATCGTCCCCATCGTCGCAACTGCCGCCGTCATCTCCGACAGCAGCAGTCGCTACACAGCCACCACCCCCGCGAGACCCTCCGCCACCAGAAGTCGTAGGGGGAGCGGCGGCGGCGGCGGCGGCGGCGGCCCCATCGTCGACCGAACCTCCACCGGCAGTTTCCAGGCCAGAATCGAGCTTGTGGACATTTACCTTGACATCCTCTTCGCCGCCGCCAGCCAGGCTTGCGCCATTCGTCGCCCAAATCCCCCCGTTCCTCGACTGCTCCTTGGAATCGTCTCTCCCGCCGCCGCCGCTCACCACCACACCCAACCCGTCAACGACACATGCTTCCCCAGAGTCCTGTCCGTTTCCTTCCATAGCTGTTTCGGACTGTTTAGCTTGACTTGCTTGCTTGGCTATGCACGGCTATTGCGTGGCTTTGTTTGCCTTCCAAATTTCTATTTCGTTTTCGTGGAGCTGGTTGGATTGCTATGCCCACGAAACACGAAACTAAACTAACTTTCCTCAACCCGCCGTGCGCAGTCCGGTCAGTCAGTGGAGGTAAAGAAATCGGGCAGGGGACAGGGGACAAGCCAGATGAGGACAAAAAAAACAGGTCTGGACGGGAATTGAGTGAGATAGCAAAAGATAGCAAAAGAGCGGGGGGAACGGGGGAACGGCCTAATCTTCAACCGTCCCAAAAAAAACGATAGCGCGCTCAGCCAAAGAGAAGATTAAAAAAAAAAAAAAAAACTGGGGAAGCCTTCCCTTTCCGCTCCGACAAGCCAACGACATTGTTCATTTGGAAAAAAAAAAAAAAAAAAAACAAGGCAGGGGGGGTAGGTAGCGGCGTCTAAGGATTCTAACTACCGGGGGGTAATCTAAAAACTAAAATTCTAAGCCCGCCATCCCGCTCCATTCATTTCAATTTCATTTGGTTACATGTTGTAATAAAGGTGGCCCTCCCCATATCCGCCCGCCGGGACCCCGGATTCCTTTTTTTTTGCTTTTTTGCTTCTTTTTTTGTTTGACGCGGAGCGGAAGCCGGAACGCGAGGCCGCCAAACCTTCGCCTGCGACGGAAGTGGGCCAGATGCAGCGCTGTGGCTTGTGTGGGTGCTCGGCCTGCGCCTCCTGGCGGCCATGAAGGCGGCGGCACCCCATTGCTACCCAACTTGCCCCCCATCCCCTTTGCATGGCCCATAAAACCAACCACACAACGGGAGAACAGGCCTTCTCCATACCTCTCTACGTCTCTTGGCCATTTGGCTAATAAGACCAGCCAAATGGGGTCCATCGGCCCACATTAGAAAAACAAGCCCCCTCTGGAAGCATCCTGGTTGGACAAGGTCCTGGTCGCCCCCGGGTAGCTTCTGTCTGCCTGTGACTGGAGACTGCCCGGGAAGCATGAACGGGGACTCAAACCCGGACAGGCCTTTTTTAGGCCGGCTGTCTGACTGTCACGGAGACTGCCTGGGTTCGAAGCCGGACAGGCCTTTTCGAGGCCGGGGACAGGGGGGTATGCAGCGGGGGAAGCGCACGGAGATAGCCCAAAGTCCAGGAGAAAAGCTTTGGGCTCCACGGGAAAAGTCCGGGGGGGGTGTTTTTTCATTTTGAAATCATTTTGTTTTAGCTCTTGTGTGCTACTGTGGCGATGCATAACACCAATTGCATTCATCCCTAACAGTAATATTACAAAGTATTGCATTCATCCCCAACAGTAAAATTACAAAGTATTGCATTCATGCCCAACAGTAAAATTACAAAGTGTGGCTGCCACCAGTCCTCAAAACCTGTCTAACCCAACTCTGGATGGAAAAAAACACATATTCCCACACATGCACGTCGCTGACTGCTTGAAGTGGATTGGTATGTCATGCCGGATCCCAGTCTGACAAAATAGAGAGAGGGAGAAGGTGAAAGACCAGAGACTGTTTTGTTTCCCCTTCTTTTTATCTCTTTGGGCCTCGCTCCACCAGTCTTGGTTTTGCATTTTTCAGGTGCTGCATTTTTCAGGAGTGATGCACCGCTCCACTTGACTCTTGATCCTACACTCTCGATAGTCTATCGAGAGTTGTCGGAAAGATTCCTCCTAAAGGGTCCCTCAGCCTGCATACTCTCAAAAATTGAGGGCGCTCTCGTCCAGCCTCGATTTTCGGGAGGGGTTAGCACATACGGACCGAGCTATCATTGATTTTTCTCTTTCCCTTTCCTCATTGTTATGTACTAAGAAAAAAAGGGGGGACATAAAAAGAACAGTGTTGCAATCAAGACTTATGTGCAGTGAGGCCTCAATTTCACTTAAAATTGAGTCTGACAACATGAGATTCACTCTCAATTTTCAAAATGAATAGAGAGTTGTGGAGCGAGGATTTTTTTTCTTTCCCTAAAGTTATTTATTTGTCAGTCGGGAACATGAACTATTGATTGTGGGGTATTTTCTTTATCTTCCCCTCATTATTTATCTATTGGTGGGAAACAAAATTAATGATTGTGGTTTGCATACTACAACTAGTCACCCATTGGTGTCAGGTGTTGGTGTGGCTCTTTGGCTGACATTATGGGCTACCAACCGAGCTACCCGGGCCAAATTGGTTACTCGGTCAAGCAAGTGCTAAGCAAAATAGTATAATTTTCATTTTTTTTAACTAAATTGATATATGTATATATATACGTGGTTACCAGCCCGTATGTACGGAGGCCCCCGAGCCGGCCTTCGTACGTTCGGGGTCCGTTCAGGACCTGAGCTTGAAGGCGTTTGACCCCCACCATAAATTAATTTGGGGGTCTAAAAAATAGTTTTTCGTTTTGATTTTTTGATTTTCCGCTCTTTATAATGTGAGGTATATGCCTAAAAATTTCGAAGGCATTTTGCTTAGCAACAAAAAAATGAAAAATGGCCAAAAATGGTAGTGTCGCGTGCTCGCCCACTCACTATTTTGTTTTTTTTATCTTTCCACTTTTTTGTTCACACCGAGAGTCACAAAAATCAGTTATAATTGCACTATGGGCCAAGATATAGTTTGAAGTTGCATTTAGGGCACCCTACCTGCCCAGAAAGTTGGGTTGTATACATTGCCCGAACTGCAGTTGCAAACTATAACTTGGGTCATACTGCAATTGTAACTCCTTTTTGTGACTCCCACGTAGTTTTTTTTTCTTACTAATATTTATTTTTCGTATTTTATTTTGATTTCAAATTTGGTAAGGAATTCAGATGTAACAATAAGGGAAACGTTGTTCGTTTTATTTTTCTACATAATATTTTTTTTAATGTTTTTTTTTTTTTTTTTTTTAAGGTCCGCATTCAGCCCGAATGGTCGAACTTTCGGCAGGTTTGGGTTCGGGAGCTCTATCAAACCCGAACGCCGGCAACCCTATATATATACCTGGTTGGGCAAGTGCATCTAAGCCACTATGGTAGCGTTGGTGGCATAAATGTTACAAAATGTTAGGTATGCAATGAACTAGTTTCAAAAATATAACCAAACATAACTCGAAACTTGACACTTTTTGTCTAGGCCAAGATTTAAGGGTCGAGAGTCACAACTCTAAGATTATAAAAAGTCTGAGGTAAGTCACAAGGTAAAGCAGTATAGGGCCTAAGGTCAAATGCAACATCCTGAGCCCCTAAATAAGACAATTCGTGCTTCAAAGATCAACATTCACGCCCACCTAAAGAAAAAACAGACCAAGAGTTAAAAAAATTTCAATGGTTAACCACAATCATAGATTAGATGTACAAACAAAGGTCGTTTGCATTATTACAAACGATCATAAGGCTTACAAAGGCTAGGCATATAGAGACCGACAACAAATTTAAATCATATGATTGTGAAATATAAACCGTAAAAGGAGGCAAGTCGCAATAGGTCAAGGTTGGTCAACACTACAAAATAGCGTTCAACCTCAACGGCTAGGTCATTCTACCTCATGTTCAAGTTGCTACAGTGTGCAACTACTATGGTATTACGATACAATGTCTATAATGATATGCTACAGTGAGTGCGAAACGAGGCAGGGAGAAATGAGAGAACCACCTGTGAGAAAAAAAATGATCTAGCTTTTAAGTGAAAAGGAAGTGAGAAAGGGAAACTTACCGTGACTTACTTTGGGCTAATGATATAAAAGTTGTTGTTGATTGCATTAGGAGTTTGAAGAAGTTTGACACCAACCTCCATAGCCAACATTGATGTTTGAGATTGAGCACCATAATTATTGTCTGCAAAAAAGTTTCATCAACGACGTTCAGGGACATGGCGAGTTGGTGAAGAGGACCCAAACGTGAAGTAAAGAAAAATAATATACTCAGTCATATTAATGATTATTAATAAAATACTATTTATTTTATTTCTCCATTATTTCTCTACCTTTGTCTACCCTATGACAACTCATTGGTTATGTTAGGATTATATTGAGTGATTCAAGGTTTCCTTCATACTCTAAGTGGTTTTACTTGAGCACAATGAAGATACTGGTATCATATCCTACTTATGACTTATGGACATACTTATAGTATTTTAAACTAGATTAACTACACTAAAATTACATAGCATTCATATAAGTTTTGTTTTGTTAAAATGGTTGTAAATACATATGTGTTTTATTGCAAATAATTATACTATGAATATTTATTTATTTTTTGGTTTATGGATCATCATTTTTTGTTAAGACAATAGAAGCATTATCCCACAGTGTGGGTCATCCTTTGTAATGACTTTAATTCATTATCAGGAGTTGCACATGTTGGAAACTAGGTTCAATATCCCGTTTACAGTAAGCAAATCATGAAACCTCAAAGATTGTCATCATGACTACCTAACCAATCAACCTCTCCTTGATTAAACGTGCTACATAGTACTCATCTCTTATTTTAAATCACAAGTTAAATATCTTTCCCACTCTCTTTCTCTTTAAACAATCATAAAAACATTCTTTTATAATCCCTCTCTCGCAATCACACACACTCTCTCCTCGATTTTTATCTTTTTTTTTTTCTCTCACACACATACACATACACTCCCTCTAAATAATCATATAAACACATACAAGAAATACAAGCATATAGTATACGATAGAACAAATGACTACGTAAGCACAATATAGTAGTTCATTGAGAAGTACAAAAAACACAATATAGTAGTTCGTTGAAAAGTTAAAAACTCCCTCTCTCCCCCCTCCCCCCCCCTCTCTCTCTCTCTCTC